TGTGATTCTATGATTCCATGATTCACAGCGCACCCTATCAGACTCCATAGACTCACACGTGTCCAGTTCGTTTAGATATTCCCTAAACTGATCCCTCCACCTAGGTTGTCTTCCTTGCTCCGGATTTTCCCACTGGACTCTGGGACGTGTGGATGCAGAATTCAATCAGCAGATAGCCAGGAAGAAAAGAAGTGAAGGTGGCATCGAGTACCTTGGCTCTTTCTGTGTCCAGCCACCGAGCCCTTGCCCCATATGGCAGTGGGCCCACGTTTGTCACTTCCCCTTTGCTAACAATACACCTACAGAAGCCCTTCTGCTTGCCCTTCACACACCCTGCTAGCTTCCACTGCAGATAGGCTTTGGCTTTCCTAATCCCACCCCTGCACATTTGGACAGTAAGCTGCCTCCAACCTTCACGCCCCCGACCAGTGCCCCCTAGTTTGTACATACCGGGCCCAGCGAAGAGCCTCTCCTCATCAGCTCCTCCACCAGCTACCAATGCTCTCCAGAGGCTCCCTTGACGGCTTGTGCTCTGCTGCGTCGCCATTCCAGGAGATTCCAGGGTGGTTCGAGTCTCCCTGCGAGACCACGGCCTGCAAGCATAAGCCTTCTTCCAACTGCCTGAGGAACATGACATGACCAGGTGTGCTGCAGTACCCACCACAGCTTTGCCCACCTTGGTTTTTCTTGGCTAATCACCGGTCCTCAGGTGAAACTTCCCTCCTCGCTGCCCCAGCCTGTGCTTCCTGAAGAGCCTGTCTCCATCCACCGCAGCACTCCAGCAGCGTAAGCTACCCCACTACATCTCTGCGATCCCAGTGACGTCACCGCCCTGCAACTGCACACAGGCCGTGAAGTCCTTCCCCAATAAGCCAAGAATTGTCTTAAAGTCCGTTATAATTAGCATCTTTAAAATAACCCAGAAATACTGCTGCCCAAAAGAATAACCACATACACAAAAATACCCCTTCAACAACAACAGAGGAACGGAAGAAACAATCCTGTGTGTTTTATTGGAATTGAGCCTCAGTCCCACTACAATTGGCTAAATATTACTTTTTTCAATTTTTTATTTTACTAAAATTCACCATATAACAAGCTGATCAGTCAGTTAGCTATAAATACAAAACCAGTTCACAAAAATCCAAAAATAAGAAAGAAAAACGAAAAAGCAGACTGTTTCAGACACACAACTTCGTATTTATAGCCCCGTGCACTCAAGATCATACAAACAGTTTTGTTTTCTGTCCTATAACTGCTTTCTGCACAAGGATCCAACATAAAGGTTGTTCTTGGGCTTATAAATCACAATAGGCAAAGACACATGTGACTGACAAGACACAGGTCTCTTACTCTTCTTCATGGTAAGAACACGGTCTTCCTTTGGAGGAGGCACATGCACAGGTTTCCAGGGAATGGGATTACAATACGCTGGAGCTGGATACAAATTTCCACGAGCACACCCTAAAACATTTAGAAAATACACATAACTGACAAAGAATATTTACACTGCAAGTGTTACAAAGCAAATAGTTTTAATAATCACCCAGCCTAACAAAAGATACAACATTGCCTTTGGGGGAAGACAGCACAGGCACATCACAATTCAAAGTAATAAATCTTCCATCCTTTTGTTTTTTTTTTTTGTGTTTTGTTGTTTTTTTGTTTGTTTGTTTACCAATAACTAACAATTCTTCATCTCTATGTTAAAAAAATAACCATGTGGAATGCTGTGTAAGACTGAGAACACTCACTCCTTTGTAAATTCAAGAGCTGTAGATGTCTACAAATGGGCTACTTTGCTTTATTCCAAAACATTTATAATAACAGCTTCTTGTCACCACCTATGCAAAATTCACATATTTTTCCACCTTTGCTTAACTGCTATTCTTCACTTTACTGAGAAAAACATTACCCACATATACATTCTTAATCTGCAATTAATAACCCGGGGCCCACAAAGCAGTGTCAGAAAACCTAAAATGCAACAGAAGGAAGATGTTGTCCTATCAGTCACTTGTCTGCCGTGACATTTCAGCGCATACATCACGGGGCTGGGTAAAACACAGTCTGTAAGACATTCTATTGCATGAACACAGCTGAGCATAGTGTTATTTTTTAAAAAATCACTTAAACAAGTGTGATTGCAGCTTTCGGGAGGAAATGAAGGTCCAAAACAAAACATGGAGTGTATCACCATCTACAAACAGATGCAAACAAAAGAGCAAAGGCTGTTCACCTGCTTTATACGTTTTCTTAAACATTCAGAGCCTGGAACTCAGGTCCTAAAATATTTTCTGTTGCAAATTCCAATAATAACAATGATTTTAACTCTATTAAAAAAGACAAAAGTGTATATATATATTTTTTTTTTTAAAAAAGAAAATTTAATCAAGCACTCAAACATAAAGTGGTATTTCTTACTGCTATTCTGCTTCTGTACTGTGTGGGATGAAAAAAAAAGACAAAAATAAAGCATCACCAAACGCCACTCTATTGACAGGATTCTCTTTAACACTTCCCTTCCAAAGGAGAAAGGAATAGGATTACAAAAGCCAAGAAGCTGAGCTGCAGGTGCATGCCCGAAGGAGGCTGTGACCCCTTGGGCAGCCCGCGCTGGAGCAGGCTCCTGGCAGGAGCTGTGACCCTGTGAATAGAGGAGCCCAGGCTGGAGCAGGTTTGCTGGCAGGACTTGTGACCC